TGCCCCCCCCCCACAAAAAAACCCACCCCAAAACCACATGAGGAATAAAGTCTCCATCTTCTTTCCAGATATTATCTCACCCATAGCAGCCACATATGAGGGGCAGAATGTTGCCTTGCAACAGTATAGACCCTAAGGATTTATGGGGACATCAAGTACTGATACTGCAGATTATGGGGCATCTGTGAGAGAGCACCTTGATTCTGAGCTCTTCCCTAGTCTTCTGTTGGTAGTAGTGTTCCTAGACAAGCTGCACTGCCATAGTTGTCTCCAGTCAGTACTCTACTTTTTATTTAGAAATACAAATGGAGAAATCAGTTCTGCCAATGGCAGTGTGAATTTCTACACTGACTTCTACCCAGGGTCCTAAACAGAGCCTAGTATGCTGAAAAGCTCCTGCTCCACAGCTTTGTTCCTGCCTTGGAATTGCTATACCCTAGAGAAAACACCAAAATCTCAACTGCTCGTTATTTAAATGGATGGATGTCTTCAGTTATGAGGAGAGAGCATGCAACATACTCGCTACTTCCTTCCTCCTACATGGTCTCTGCATCCTTGTATTCCCTCAGTGGAGAGGGAAGGAACCTCTCCGCATGTAGTTCAACATGCAGGATTACTTTGAATGTGAGATTACATCAAGCCCTATATATTTTTCTCCCAAATGTGGGTAGGGCTGCTTTCCTATATTCTGTGTTGGGGATAGTGGCTAGGGTGTAGCATGAAAGAGGCTGAATGTGAATGCTTTCTTCTCTAAACCCTCTTCTCATGATTTGTAACCAGGTTCCACGCTTTACAGTGTCCTCCGAGGGGTGCTAGAGGTTGCAGTTGGAGTAGCAGCTGGTGGGCTTTTAGGAATTTTTATTCGATATTTTCCAAGCAGTGATCAGGTGAGTGGGGGTCACCTGAGGTGCATGTAATTCCCTTGCTATGAGTGGAGAATTATTAGCAGAAGAACTAAATGATCCACTTCCTAACTCAGAGTGAGAACAGATATGACTTTATTGAGAATGATCTGTGTTTAGCACCAGCAGTTTGTAGAGTTTGAATCTCATGAAGGGTTTATTCTTCATTATAATGAGTAATGTGTTTGCTGTGATGGTAAAATTGTGCAGTTTCCTAAACCTCTAATGTGCTGGGATTTTAGATCTTCAGTCACCAATCCTACTCCCATTAACAGTGGTTACAGGCAGTCCTTGACTTACAGTGAACAGCATTTACGACATTTGTAAATTTCAACTTTCTGACGTCAGTTTCTACTTTATGACATTTGATCCAACACAATGTCACACCAGCGAACAAGTTCGCTGCATTGCCCATCTCCCTGGAGAACATCTGTCCAAATTTCCTTGGACACTTTCTTTAAGAAAGCAGCCAAGACTCCAGAAAAACCTGCAGCCAAGACTCCTGAGAAGACTCCAGCCAAGAACACTTCCAAAAAGTCCAACCAAGAGCCCTTCAAAAAGTCCAGGAAAGTCACCTCAAAGAAGTCCTTCCAAATCAATATGATTGCTATTTACAATATGAATACATTAATGTTGCTATATTACTCATCTATAATGGATTGAGTACAAAATTCTGGGTTATTTTTGGTGAAAATAGGGTATCGGGCCTTGGATCAGGAACCAATCCCCCATTTATAACATTGTTTCCTATGGGAAAATCAGTTCCAATTTTACAATGTTTTAACTTAAGACAGTTTTCAGGAACCAGTTGTGTTGTAAGTCTGAGAACTGCCTGCATTTTCACACTTAATAGGAATAGAAATTGACCCGTTTTGTCAGTAAAGGAAGCATCAATTAGATTGATGTTTTTTGCATGCACATTATTATCAGATGCCTACAGTGGGCACAATGGGATGAATTAAAAGCAGAATGACAGTGCTCTTTACCTTGAGTTTTGGAGTTTAACTAATTGTTCATGGCCATAATACTGCTTTAGCATTCATTAGTAGTACATAGTTCTTTCCTTCAACAACCCCTTCCAAGATTACCTGATGTTGAATGACATGTGACCGCTGTAACTGGCTCCAAGATGTGGTTAAGTAGGCAGAAACCCAGATATGAGATAATATGAAATATACCAAAACATTCTCAGTGAAATCCCAGCACAATCAGTTAATTTTAAAGCTCCCATTAGCTTCCAGTAGAGCTAGCATAAAGAATGTATTACAGAAGCAACTGTTTGATTAAATAAGCCCATCCTAGAACTTGAGGCATGAAAGAGACCCCCAGAAGTTATCTAATCCATCTCTGTGCTCAGAGACAGGACCAAATGCACCAAGACAGTCCCTAACAAATGTACGTCATGTTCTTAAAAGCTTCCAATGACAGAGGTTTTACAGCCTCCCTCCGTAAATTGTTTTAGTGCTCAGAGGTCAACAAGGTTGTTTGTATAGAACTTCATGTTTTGCATTCCATGATGCAAAAAACCCTTTGCATAGAGATTTCTAAGGGATAGAAGACAGGAAACATTGAACATGTGGAATTTTAATTCTACTGAAACAAACAAAAAAAAATAGGCTTCTTCCCTGGAAACTGATTTTTCTATCTTGATGCATTTCTTATTGATGTGTAATGTAAGTTAGAGTGGGGATTTTTTTTTTTTTTTTTTGCAGGGAGGGGGATGGTTCTTTCTGTTTCTCCACCTTTACATGAAAATGTCCTGTTTTCATTCCCTCTAGACATCTCTTTCATGGAAGAGAGGATACTTCATATTGGGTCTGTCCATGTTTGCTGTTTTTGGCAGTATACACTTCGGTTTCCCTGGATCAGGTGGCCTCTGCACCTTGGTCATGGCCTTTGTTGCAGGTCTGGGATGGTCCAATGAAAAGGTGAATGCTTAAATAGTTACACGTGTCTCATGGCCAGCAGAAACTGCTTTAAATGCATGGGACAGACAGATTGTGATATTAGATGTGCTACTTGAAACTTCAAAATAGCAGAAGTAATGGAGGAAACCTGTAGAATCCTTCAGCTATAGAACTAAAGGTTTAAGGGATGCATTGGCTTACTGATCTGTCCTAATTCTGATATTATCAGGAAGTTTTAACATTTTGTATGTCAGAGGTATATAATGTGAAAGATTATATGTGGGTATTCCACAACTCTGGGTCTCCTTCACTGCCACACAGAGACAGAGAAAACCTTACTTAGATACAAAATCTTTGCCAACAGTGTTTAAGTAACAAGTCTCTGCATAGGTAAACATAAACAGACTGGGTTTTAGTGTTTTCTTCTGCAGATTCATAATAGCACATTTTCCCTTTAGCATCAAATTTCTTTAGAGAGCTTTTCCTCATTCCTCCAACTTAAAAATTCAGCTTTTTAAAACAAGCAAAGGTCTGAGCAGGACAGGCATATTTTCACCGTGTTTGCCAACAGGGAAATAATTACTGAATTACTAATTCATTAATTAGTTATTCAGTTAATTAGTTAAACGTGACTTTATACAGCAATACTGTGTCTCTAAAATTGTTATGCTGCGAAGTCTAAGCCAGCTACATCTGTGTCTTGGAAATCTAGGTTTCCTTTTTGGCTCATACTTCATTGATAAACTGTTTCAAGTCCATTTATGCATGTGTTATATTGCAAAATTGATTTTTTTTAAAAGGAAACCTAGATTTCCAAGACACAGATGTAGCTGGCTTAGACTTCGCAGCATAACAATTTTAGAGACACAGTATTGCTGTATAAAGTCACGTTTAACTAATTAACTGAATAACTAATTAATGAATTAGTAATTCAGTAATTATTT